CCATCTGTGGAGCAAAGACATAGTATGTTGTCATTGTATTGCAGGATACAATTCAGCAACAGCAATAGAAAACACATACTGTATCTTTATGTTTTTTGTCACTTAACTATTCAGCCCAAATTTTGAATACAACCATAAATCATTTTAATGTTCCACTTCCATAACTCCCCTGTGCCTTTATTTTTCCTCTCAACAGGATTTAAGAGTCAAGCTGGAGCATGAAAGAGAAAAACGGTATGTTGGAAATTCAGTATGTTTTTTCTTCTCCTCTGATTTAACCCTTTAGTTTTGATCATTTTTGTTATGCTTTTCCATTCCTGGGATTTTGTGTCTAAGGGAAATCACAGTTACATGCCAGAGAAGCATAAAGAAAATGAAAATTCCTGCTTTGACATTTAGCCGAGGCCTTGTGTTTTAGACTCGGAATGGTCGTTAGAGAGGGGATAAAGGAGAGAGGGAGTGAGCATAAAGACAGAGGGAACTCCAAGTATTTCAGTTCAGTGTCCAGGCTTCCAGTCACACCCCAAATTATTACTTCATCTCCTGTGTTTTCTTGTGCTTTCCCTCTGTCTTCCACATCCTTCACCCAGCAGCCATCTGTGCTCCCTCACACCAGCGACTATAGGCAGTCTGTGGTTATACTCACTCTGTCTAGAGACGGTGTTAGTACTTTTTCCACCAAGGTGCTTTACAGTTTGTTTACTATGTTGAAGCACTTTGAAAGTGAGGCCCCTGGTATAAATAACATATCTTTTGAACAGGAGGCTTTATTTGGTGCTGAGCTTCATTTTGCCTTGTAGCCTCATCAGTTCCATCTATGGAGGCTCTGTGAGTAGCCCAGGTCCTTGTCTGGCCTTTTGCTTTGCATTCTGGGAAACATCCATATTCACAGATAGATTTTGCCCCGGTGAAACTTTTGGTCAACTACCTACAGAGAGACTCCAAATAACTCCTGAGGCAGAAAATGACAAATACAGAGTGTACTGTTACAGTGGAAAAAACATCAGGGAGGGCGAGGGAGACTGACCAGAACCTACTAGAACACAGTAATTGCCTTGATTCTTCATAATATAGACCAGGGGAGCAGGCATTCTGTGAAGCTGTGATTAGAAAGCCTCAGGCTCACAGGAGTGAGAAAGAGAAGCGAAACAGCGCTGTCTTCCAGCCGAGTACAGCTTCACACTGTGCCTCTTCACTTTTTCAAAGCCCTAATTGGCAACTGCTGAGGAAGAGATGAGTTTTTCATGCTGCTGTCTCTCCTCGCTTCTGCCTTCCTTTCTTTCTTCGTCTCACAGCCTTCTCTTTCTCACAAGCTCTCCTCACGCAGTGCTCTCTTGGAACAGACAACAGCTCGCACGGGAAGACACCATTCATGGATTTGAAAAGGCTTTGTTGTTTTTTTAATTTCACTTTCTTTCGTTATTTTGCATACTCTATTATGCTTGTCCGAGTTCTGACCATATTCACTTTATTTGAGGCCTGTTTTGGAAATCAGGATATCCTGAGCTTGTAAACAGGGTCACTAGTGACAAACGCAGAAAGAATGATCACAATCTCTGCAGCTCCCCCTAACCTCTACAGAGTGTTTTAATCTTTTTCAGCTTCTTGTTTTGGCGTTCTGGCTTGTAACTTCTCTGTTGTGGTGCTTCTATCAGCAGACAACAATTTTTTTATTTTATTTTGTAGAAAAGGCCCGATAAAACTTGTGTAAACCTGCTCATCACCAAACAGACAAAGTTAGTTTATGAATATACTGGAGCATTTAGCAGGTAAAGACCCAGATAGTTTTGAAAGGAGCTGGTCAAGAACAAAAACAGATCCAAAAGAGAAGTAAAGTTTGGACTTAAATTCATTGGATGGACAAAAACATGACTCCAAATAACTGCTAATGATGCTTCATGTCTGCTGGATGTGTCAAGAGACAAGCAAGCTACCCATATCAACTTAAAAGGGGATTATATGTCATTGTGTTTACAGCTTGGTGCCACTGGCCCTCAGTGGTAATATTATGCATAGCATCAACCAAAGATGCATACTACTGTAGTGTTAGTGAAAACTAGTCATTAATTTCTGTCTCTAGTCAGGTGGTCATAAATAAAACCGCTATCATAGATCTCATAAAACCTTATAAAAGGGAACTGATCTCATTTCTTCATCATTTTCGAGATATGTTTGAACCTGAGCTACAGAGCAGCAAACCCCACCATTCCACTGCATAAAAAGCCTCATTATGTAGTCAGATCTATTGGCTTTTCATCAGAAATCTTAATAATCTAAGGTGCAGCACCAGGTTCAGTTACATGTTATATCAGAGCAGTGTCCACAGCACTTCAGGGCAGGAGTCCCTGACTCAGGATAACAGCGTTGTCTGTCAACAATAGAATCTAATTGGACGGTCTCTCTTTTCATTGGCAAACACTGAAGGTTTGAGGCAGGAAATAGGAGCTGTAGCTCTCTCTTCCCCTGGCTCTGCCTCAGGGTCTCCTACCAGAGCGTAAGGAAACAGAGCCAGACCATTATTCTGTGTGTATATGATTGTGATTATGTCCATGAGAGAAAGGGACAGAGAATGTGCTGAGATGTGTGAAAGAATACTTTTATACTATGTGTGTGTGTGTGTGTGTGTGTGTGTGGACATGCTTGCATAAATGAAGGAAAGCCATATCTTTAGGAGCAGCATCCTCATACTCCCCCCACCGCCTCCACATCTCTCCAGCTGTTTATCAGACACATCATCACTGAGTATAAACGGAGACAGAGAGCGTTTAGCTGTGCCGCCGCTCGCCTCTGATCTGCAGGCCTCCCTTTTCCCAGAATCCTGTCCTCAAATGAGGTAACCAACGAGCAGTCATTAAGATAGGCAGAGCTTTCTCTGATGAGGAAATGCTGGGATTAAAACAAGTCCTTTCAGGATACTATAAGGAGATGGTGGAGTGAAAGATTCTTCAAAAGTAGAGAGAAAAGGGAGGAGAATGAAATGCCGCAGAGAATCACTTTATTTTTGTTTCCTTTATTTTCACAGGCTCTCTCCTTTATTTTTCCTCCCACAGTCTGTAAATACCTCTGCGTCTCTCTATCTTTCACTCTGTCACTCTTTAAAAGAGGAGGGAAAGACACACATCCTGCTGCTTTTGCTGCCGCTCCAGATTTTTTCCCCTTTCCTCTCAGGAAGTTTCCCATCTGCCTTTGTGCTGGCTTAGTGGAGAGGCCCAGTGGTGTTGAAACAGTGGTTGATGCACACACTGATTGGGAAAAACACTCATGCGTAAGGAGTTTTGCCAACACACACATATCCGTTTAAATACTCACTGTAAACACTTGCTGATAAGCTTGGACCCGCACAGACTAATGTGCTCACTCAGTCGTAGGTGAACTTTAATACATACACTATATTTAAATCAGAGGGGTCTACTCTGGTGCATTGATTACTGCCATGTTAGCATTTTGGTAGCTTTTCTTGTTGATCCTGCTGACCTGTTCTGATATGCTCATCCAATCCAAATGTATGTTAGAAAACCAGAAAAGCTACAAAGAATAGAAAAACTGAGCTTCTCTTTTTTTAAGGTAGAGGAATTGAGTAAACATGTTTTCACTGACATGAGATATCCTTTCCTCCAGTCCTTCATTTGAAGCATCCAGTCACAAACTGTCAGTAAAAGGCCATGTCAGTCCATCACAGAATTCTGTGAACGATGCACTTGTATATGTCCAGGCAGCCTCCTGGCTCCTCAGAGCAGAAATAAGAGAGCTGGGATGTCCTTCATTATGGTGAACAGGGAGCGACTTTGGGGCCGAGTGGGGATCAAGGAACAATAAAATAAAGGAATTGGGATTCACCTTATGGCTCAGCCTGTGAAAGCTGGTGCTAGATACGATGCCAGCTTCTTTTTCTGACCTTTGACCCTGCCCTTCTCTGCTTCCTAGAATCATCCTGTTCCAGAGGCCGCTGAAGATCAAGGAGCTGCTGCAGAAAGTGACTGAGGCCTTTGGCCAGCAGATGGACATGTTCTTTATGGAGAAAGAGGTAAAAGGACAACTAGCGGTCATGTGGTCAAGATCCTCGGCTGCTGTTACGAACCTAATTAAGAATGTTGCATGAAGAGATAATAAAACAAAAAAGCAACTAATACTCTGGGATCTATTGCAACATTAGTTTCATCAGTGGGTAGTAAAAGTTCTTCTGCTGAATGTTTTCTTGTCCTTTTCAGTTGCTGCTGCCCCTGAAGACTCAGGAGGACCTGGATCAGGCGGTGCTGGCATTGGGGTGCAGCTCGGGGACCAATGGGCTTCTCAGGATACTACTTAAGACCCCCAAGAATAACCATGTGAGTCACTAACAGTGTGCTCCTTTTACAGAGCAGTATTTCTACCGACACACACAATGCACATCGTACAAAAACTCAGTCACAGTTTATCATTGTGTAAATTGTATCCATAACAACCATGATAACAAAGAACTGACTTGCTGCCAATTTGAAACTGGCTGTATGAAGCAAACTTAATCATGCGGCCTTTGGATTTCGAGCTACTGTGCTGAAATGAGTAACTTAGATGAAACAAGCGTCTTCTAAGACACGATCATGTAACTGGAAAATGTTGTACTCACTTCCTCAGCTGATTTTGGTCTCTTTTTCTTAATTGCTATATGGTTTCCCTTTGTAGTACCTACAGGTAAACAGCAGGGACAAACAGAGCGAGATGAGGTCATCACGGTCACTCGGAGATTTAAAAGGCACCTTGCTCAAGGGCTCAGAGAGGGTGCGCAAACACTCGACAGGTGAGAAACGCACATCAGTCTCTGCATTCACCTCTCTGCCACTTTTACCTTTGGACATAGTAAAGAAAGCTGTTTCCCCATTTAGGTTATTGAGGTTTATTTTGCCCTGTGAAATACTGACCCCCCCTACCCTCTCCCTTGTCTGAATCTTTTCACTGGCGTTATATCAGGTCTGTCCAGAAAGGTCAATGTTTTAGTCATATCTCAACCTCAGATGCGCAGAAATGACTCGTGGTCCAATCTCTGTCACACATGCATTTTCGCATAGCAGCTGAAACTGCTTTATGATTGCTGTCAGCGCCAGTCTCAGCTCCAATAACATCAGCACTGTCACCATCCCAAGTCATATAAATTGTGTAGAATTATCCTCTGTCTCTGTCAGTTCCTCGCCAGCCACAACTCAGAGAGAAGAAGGGGCTGAAAGATAGAAGTGAAGGAGTAGTGGCAGATGAGAGGTGACAGGAGAGCAGTCACAATGAATGGTTGAGTGAAGATGTGATGTGAGCCTGGGTACCTCAATGACGTACAGCAGTGGGGGGAGGAGAGAAAGAGGCAGAAAGAAACTGAGCTGTGAAGAAAACGGGGTTTTAGCTTTCACTCAACGAAAAGACCATTTACTCTGATGTTGTGATCACTCCTATATATATCTTGCTACCCTTTAAACTTTGCACACGTACACAGTATCCCTGTCAGAACAGTCAGCAACAGACTTTCAGTAGGTCTTCTTACCTTGTCAAGGACAAGAGCTCGGTCTCTGCTGCAGCTCAGCCAGGAGTGTTTGTCACAGTAATTGAGGTCAGAGGTGACAGCAGTGTGGTTTAGTAAATCATCCCTCGTAGTCCTGGCACCGTTGAACTTGTGTCCATGCATAACACCGTGATGCTGTTTTCACCTCTCTGCCCCTCATTTTCATCTCCTCATCATCTCACTTTCACATTCCCCTCCATTCATTCTTGCCTTTACCACTCATTTTCTCCTTTTTTCTCCAATTTTACATTTCTCCTTCTCCCTGTGCACCTACTATTTTTTCCATTCCTGTCTTTGCTGCTCTTCTTTTTCTCATTCTACCCGTTCATGCTGTCACCTTCTCAGGTTCCCTGCACACAGGTCGGACGTCCCCGCCTCCAGGCAGCGTCCCTGAGGAACAGCAGCAGATTGCTCGCCAGGGCTCCTACACCAGCATTCACAGTGAAGGGGAGTTCATCCCAGAGACCTTGGACCAAAATGTAAATGAGAAAATGTTCTTCATACTCCTCATATTATGATGAGTATTCACGGAAAATTTTTATTTTGAAGTGTGTTTTGCATTTTGAACTAACTTGGCTGACTTGTTTGCTTCTGTTGGATGCATTTGAAGGCATTTCATTCTGCTTTGTAGTGACTTTGCCTACATCGGTCTTGTCCATAGTTTTTTCTGTTTGTTTTGTTTGTTTTTATTGGAACATTGAAAGACTATCATGCTTGTCATGGCTTCTTAATATAAAGCAAAAACAGAATTGTCATAAATTTTCAGATTTCTTTTTCTAAGTGAGTGTTTTATTTCATTATTTAATGTTTACTGTCTTTTCTTTAAACCCAGACCACATTATAAAGCTGTTTTCTATCATTTACGATTCATCACACAGTAACTGAGGCAGTAGTTACGCTACCAGTAAAAGGTTTGGACACACTTTCCTGTTCAAATCCATGTGAAAGTGTGTCCAAATCTTTGACTGGTAGTGTATGGCCTCTAACATCAGGATAAGTCTTTCACAGGAAGCTCACAGCACTAGTTCTGATCAACAGTGATTCAACTGAACTGTCAACTAGAACATTTATATGCAGCATTTAGACCTACAGTACTTATGCCCCTCCACATTCTCCAAATGCACTGCAGTTATACTCCTTTTTTTATTTCTGTCAGATGCCGGATCCCTTTGGAAGCACTGACAATTCACTGTCCAACTGCTGTCAATCAATCGATGAAGCACTGGACAGGTGAGTCACCTTGCAGTCTGGTGATTTATAACCCTTGTGTGTGTCGATTTATATTTACGATATACACATTCATATTGCAGACCCGTTTTGTTTACAAAGATATGAACCTTAGTTTGCATCTGAGGGTTTGTCACTGTCAACACACTTGCCCATGAGCATGCATGTTGCAAACACATGCACAGAAGCAACCAGAGGCTCTCAGTGAAGTTTGCAAATGGTGTTAAAGGCCAGCAGAGCTCCACGACCCTGCCCGGGTTGGAAGAGCAATCAGGGGACTTTTGCTGTTTCCACAGCCACAAAACTCCTATCTAGATGTCTGGATCCTCTATTATCACGCACAAGACACACGGAGACTGAGTGGGAGATGTGAGAGCAAGCAAAAACATCCTGAACGAGAGGAAAAATTAAATCAGAAAATGAGAAGTAGTGGAAGAGTAAATATGTTGAATGTGAATCAAAGGGAAAAGAAAAGTGAGTAAGAGTGAGGTTAAGAGAGAGAGAGAGAGAGAGAGAGAGAGAGAGAGTACGGAAGCAGCTCTACCTGCACAAGGCTTATCTGGGCTCCAGGCTGCAGAACAATGACAGGAAACAAGTGCATGGAACTTTTCCCTGCGAGTGGGCATGCGTGCCTCTTTACAGGGTCTTGTGGCCCCGCGCCGCCCTGCGGTCAGCAGAGACGTCACTGTCAGGTTGTCAGAGCGGACCTGGCCACAGACGTTCTGGAAGGGTGGCAGGTTGGGGGTGGGACATACATCGACACATGTAATGAGAAAATTCTAGTTTCATTGCCAGTTTAGTAGTTCAGCTCCACACACTTCACTCTGCTATTAATAATGCAGGAGGTTCAACAGTCACTTCTGAAAAGGCTTTGTCATTTAAGGAGGATTTACAGACTCAAATATTTTCTGAAATAATTTTCCCCCTGTGTTGTCTTATTTCAGCCCTCCTTTCTCACAGAACGACCGTGACAATAATTACCTGAACATCAACTATGAATACAAAGGTAAGAGGAGAAAACAGCAGGACTTCTAAAAATTTCTTCTTTTCTTTTGATAATAAAGAGGTGCAGATACCTTTTTCATTTTTAGAATGTTTTGTTGGTTCTTTTGTTTGTTGTTTTTTATTTTGTCACAACTATACGTGCATAGTTTCACAGGAAAAGAACTAAGCTCTGCATGTATATCTGTTGATTACCTAGAATATGTCCCTTACAGAGATTATTAAAGAGGAGGAGGATTTTATTTGATGGTTTTATCGAGGACTGTTTACCTGAAATGAAGAATGGGTTCTTTGTGAAGATATTTAATATCTTGGTTGTTGTCTCATGAGGTTGTGAATTGACAATATCATAAGTCTCTTTGCTTTATCTTCCCATCTCTCCTATGTATACCCTTTCTTCACCTCCTTTTTTGCCTCCCATCCCACACCCCTTGTTCATGTACCTCCGGTTACAAATATGTTTTCCTGTCTTTTCATTAACACTTTCTTGCCCTCCACCCCCTTGCCTCTTGTTGCCCCCATACTCGTCTACACCTTGTCTCTGGGGTCCCTGTGTGTCCCCTTTCCTTCAAACGTAGGTCAAAAAGAGCAGAATGACAGCTAGCGCCACACTAATCCTTGTGAACAGTTAAGCCACAGCAGCTCCCTCAATCTGGTCCTTTATTTGTTTGTGCACCAACCACATGGTGTAAATAAAAAAAAGGAGTGCTGCACATTATGTATGCAAACTGGGAACATATAAGTTTCATATAGCTTTAGCAGCAGCCCTTCCCTGATGTAAAAAAAAAGAGAGCTACAGTATTTGTTTACCATTCCCTGTGAGTAGATTTTTCCTCTCCATCATGTGCTGCCAAACACAAAAAATAACTCCCATCTCCCTGGGATACAGCCACAAAAACAGCGCGAGGGGAGGCAGTCATCTGTCCGAACAGCTGCTTATAATTGCGAGTGGCTCCACCGCTCTCCATTTACTGTGTGTGTGTGCTAGCGCTCGCCTGCGTCAGCAGTGCTCCCCACCTGCCTTTAGTTACTGCACTGCTGGTTTCAGAGCTAAGGGCTAAACTAGCACACACGTGAGCTGTATTCATTTTCTCTGTTGGCTGCAGTTGGGCGATACAATGGCTGAGCTCAGGTTGTGAAAAGCTGGGTTCCATCCTTCTGCTTTTAAACTCAACTTTGATTTGATATGCTGAGATGAGCAACAACTACGTAGGGTCTCTCAGATGTGATCAGTTGAAATGGCAACTTCTGTTATCCCCTTTAGGCATCAGCATGTTTGGGTTTCAGACATGCTCAAAGCAGTTAAACCTGAGTTGAACAAACACAAACCTGGTAAACTATAAAGCTTTGTAACACTGAGTTCTGTAACTGAAAAAAGATGTTTCAATTGCAAAGTAAGACTAGTTTTTGAGGTTTCAGTTACTTTCTAAACTGATAATGTTGCCTCATTGCTCCCTCTTCAGGTCGCCATGGGAAAGGAGGGACTTTCCCTCGTCAGTTCCAGTTGGCCAATCGCAGCAAGGATTATGGAGACCGTAAGAAACCGGTTTTGCATAGCATTAACAACAACGCTATTATTACATGGCTTAGATAGACACAGATATGTTACTGTGGTTAAAGAGGACAATAGAGACACACCCATCTGGTCAGATTTGTCTTTTTTCACTCCAGATGGACAGTAAAGGATCTCAGTCATTACAGTGTCTCTTCCTCACATTCTACTATTTCATTCTACTTACAGATTAAGTATTTTTGATATTGTTCACTGCTTTTTTTGCACTCTCTGTTGCTTTAGTACATGCAGTGCTGGCTTGCTGTTCCAGGCAGCTGCTAGTAATTGCTTACTCAGAGGCTAACCTTGGCTAGCAGTGATTTACGTTGCCCTGCCGTGAACTCGAACTTGTATAAAAACACAGCACCCTGCTTCCTGTCTGAGGGGAAGTGAGACCGAGTGGCACTCTGCTCTGGCTGGCCCCAAGTCTTGGCCAAGAGCACAGCTCTTGTAAAGTAGCATAAAAATCATTCACAGTACAAAGAAAAGATGCAGTGATCAGTGTGTAAAGTCATTAATATGTTTTTTTTAATTAAATGTGTACATTTTCAGGTCGCAGGACACTTCCACGGAGCTTTATGCCGGCAGAGAACCTGTTCCAGTTGGTTCCCTCCAGTCGCACACGCAGTTATAATGGAGACAGCACCCTGCAATATAGCGACCTGCGCTCACTGGGCCGGACCACTGACAAGGGCTGCCAGCGTGGTACAGCCAAGTGTGAGTTCCCTTAAAATCTTGAATAGAGGAACAGCAAAGCAAAATAGAAAGTTTCACCCTAAAACGCTGTTAATTAAACTCTGTTTCTGAGTCTTTATTGTTGATTGGTGTTCTATTTTTCTGGTTCCTGTGGATAATAAACCCAGACTGATAACGCAGCGGTGAACTTAGGTTCAGACTTGTTCTCTTCTGCTTGTTTAGGCTGATCATCAAACCTTTATCTTTAGTATTATAAACCTCATAATGTATAAGCACATATATGACCAACCTGTATACCTTTTATGTAAGTCATGAGCACATGTGGGCTTTGACAACAATAAAGATAATCTGCTGTATCTGTATTTTGGGACGAGTCAAAGACTGTCAGGTGGCGAAAGCTGGCATTGAATTTGTAATCTTGGTCAGATTCTGTAGACAAACTGGGACCTGATGCAGACGTAATGGACAGATGCATTTTGATTTAAAGCCATACATTTGCCAATTATAGGTTTTTATTTAGTTCATTTATGACTCATTGCAAGTAGACAATAACACTTGACAACTTGGGCTTCTTTTGTTAAATGCAAAATGTTTTCTTGGCAGTGTTTAATCAAATCAAATCAAATTTTATTTGTATAGCGCCAAATCATAACAAAAGTCATCTCAGGACACTTTACAAAGTAAAGTCTAGACCTTACTGTTATCAATATTATTACATAGGGAAAACCCAACAAATCCCCCTTGAGCAAGCACTTGGCGACAGTGGGGAGGAAAAACTCCCTTTAACGGAAGAAACCTCCGACAGACCCCGGCTCTTGGTGGGTGGCCTTCTGCCTCGACCGGTTGGGGTGAGTGGATAGAGGAGAGAGAAATATAATTCTCAAAGTAAGCAACTGAAAAAATATTCTGGTATCAGGAACAAAACTCAAGTATTGTGTTTACTGGAGTATTGAAAAGTTTTAAGTGATACCCATTCATAGTTGAAAGACATCCAGGGATGTGCAGAAAATCATTAACAGTAGTTGAAGAAACTGGGTGTGTCACAAAATACATAAAAGTGATGAAATATAGCAGTGTGAGTATTTGTGAGGGTGGTACTGTACTTTGAATGGATTGCTTAAGCAGTTAAAAGTCAAACACACTGTCATGTCTAGAGTTTTAAATGTGTCACACCATTATGGATGGAGACAAAACAAAGATAATCTCTTTTCCAGTAAACACTCTATGACTGTCAAATCTATTTGTTGTTCAGTAGTATGTACTAATAGGGAGTAGGAATTATCAAATCAAATCAAATCAAATTTTATTTGTATAGCGCCAAATCATAACAAAAGTCATCTCAGGACACTTTACAAAGTAAGGTCTAGACCTTACTGTTATCAATATTATTACATAGGGAAAACCCAACAAATCCCCTTTGAGCAAGCACTTGGCAACAGTGGGGAGGAAAAACTCCCTTTAATGGAAGAAACCTCCGACAGACCCCGGCTCTTGGTGGGCGGCCTTCTGCCTCGACCGGTTGGGGTGAGTGGATAGAGGAGAGACAAAAGAAGAAAAGCAACAAGACACAACAATCAAACACTGATCAGGTCGATGTGGCTGGTGACTGCTCGTCAGAGACGTAGAGCTCCAGGGCCAGGGCAACCTGCAGAAAAGTACAGGGAGAGAGAGAGGACACACTACGGGAGAGAGGAGACACAAAGTAATGTGTAATGGTGGCATATAGAAGTATAGGGAGAGAGAGCTGATCCAGCCCTAACTATAAGCTTTATCAAAAAGGAACGTCTTAAGTCTAATCTTAAAGGTAGAGAGGGTGTCCGCCTCCCGAACTGAGACTGGGAGTTGGTTCCATAGGAGAGGAGCTTGATAGCTAAAGGCTAATAATGTACAGTAACACTACAAATCCCAGCAGGCAGAATTCCCCTCTTGGTGTGCGACAAGCTGCAGACTGAGCCATGTCTGTCTTCATTCAGTCAGTGGTTGCTGTTTTGTCATGAAACAAAAGCTTGGCTCAGCAGTCTGTGGTCAACCTGTCAGTCTCCAGTGTTGCTCTCACCCACACACGACCAGACCATTTATCCTGGCCACAAAGAAGCTTGTTACAAAACAAAGTCTCAGGGTCTGGGCTTGTGAAGATGAGAGGTGTCATGATGAGCTTTCCAGGGTTTAAAACTTTGTCTGCTGAGCATGGTTTGACTCAGGGTTTTCCCCCTCAAAAAGGGTCTGCGGTGGGAATTATTTAATGACCCTGTGGTGACTTTGGTGGATCTTGACGCATGCTTTAGGGTTAATACTTGCTCAAATCAGTATATCACAGTTGATCTGTCTGCTGCTTGTGGGGACTTAGAAGCAAAACTGATTTCTGGTAGGTTTTCATCATCTGCTGGTTTGTTTCTACAGGCCCACGTGCACCAGTGAACTGGCGACAGGGAAAGCTCCTGGGGCGCGGGGCATTTGGGGAGGTCTATCTTTGCTATGACGCTGACACAGGGCGTGAGCTGGCCGCCAAACAGGTGCCCTTTGACCCCGACTGTCAAGAAACCAGTAAGGTGAGCGAGGAAAAGCTCACAGCTGTTTGGAATATACATCTGTATATCTGAATTGCTTTCTGATTTTCTAAAATCAAGCACTTTTTTGTGGCTCTCTTCCTCTGTAGGAGGTGAATGCTCTCGAGTGTGAGATTCAGCTGCTGAAGAATTTGCGTCATGAGAGGATTGTTCAGTACTATGGTTGTCTTCGGGACCATGACCAGAGAAAACTCACCATATTTGTGGAGTTTATGCCTGGGGTGCGTATTCTGCAGTGCATCTTTTTCAAGTCACATTGTAGTATGATACCAAGATGGCAAAAAAATAAATAAACTTTAAGCATATAACTCGAGTTATTTTGAGTTACTACAGTGAATCATATTATGAGTGGCTCTGGTTGGGTTGATAAATACACAGACATTTTAAGACGGTCATAAAATCAAACCTATAAAGGCCACATCTGCTAATAAACAATTCTGAAATGTGGCCAATTGTCAGTAGACATGTCCTCACTGCTTGATGTCAGCAGAACAGCTCAGTTTATGAGATCATTTTTTCACAAACTGAGCGCCTTAATGAGCTGCTGTGGCCTATGTACCCCTGTGTTCCTCTTATTTTCTGAGCTATTTTGTCTGAGTGGTCCTGAGTGTCTTAGTCACACATTGTCTGGAAATGGGAAATGTTTATGTTTCGCCGGAGCTGGTTCTTGCAGAAGGGAGATGCCAAAGCCAACTTTGTGTGTGAAAAAACTGGTCGCACCCGCCACATCCCTTTGGGAGCCAGGGGGCTCTATGGTGTCTTGTTGGAAACTGAAAGTGCACAGTTGAAATGTGTGTCACAGGTGTTACTGAACCAGACATTTGTTCCTAGGAATTGAAAACAGGAAATGCAGCATATTGAATGTGTTTGGACTCAATCACATTTTATGTTTATATACTTGTTTTATGTTTTTGCACTTGGCTTGGAACAAACTCACTTCAGCTGAAACACCCACATTTCATGTTACCTCCATCGTGCATCTTCTATAGCCTACAACTTTGTCGGTACTAGTTAAGATTGATCCTCACACTGGCTTTCTGTTTTTTCCTCTCTCTGTTGTTGTCTCTACAGGGCTCCATAAAGGACCAGCTTAAAGCCTATGGGGCTCTGACAGAGAAGGTGACAAGGAGATACACCAGACAGATTCTCCAAGGAGTCTCCTACTTGCACAGCAACATGATTGTACACAGAGACATCAAAGGTAACTGAAACCGATAGCTGGCGAAGGCTGGGAGTTGGGTTGTTAATTGGACTTGTAACCAGTGCACACCCACACTTGAATGCAGTATGCAAACAGAAATGAGACTCTGTGGTCCATATTGCAGCAACTGTTGCTGTCACAGATTAATTTATTTTATTCCGGTTTTCTCATTTGGTTATTCATCGTCTACAGAATGAGCCTGGAAAAAATGTGCTATTTAGAACAACCCTTTGAGACATATTAGGCTTCATGCTGGTGAAATTGGCTGGTCTAAAAATGTTCAACACCAGATGGAAAGCTTTTAGTTTGGCTGCCTGCAGCTTTGGGAGTCATTCAATCGCAGCCAAGAAGAGGGGAATATACTGTCTGGTGGGGAAAAACGATAGTCGACCTCACAGGACAGAGGTGGGCTTTTACAAAGTTTATGTGGGTGGGATTTTCCACTTAGAAATGCTCTTCATGTGTAATATAGTGTGTACGCTTATCTCTCCACACAAGAGCTTTTCTGTATAGAGTAAAAGAGCTGTCAGCACATGCGGTTTTTGGACAGAGCTGGGCATCATAGAAAGTCGTGGAAAGTCTCACATCCTTATAACAAAATGCACAGGCTGTGGAAACAAGTTGAAGAAGTTAGAAGAGTAAAGGTCACATGGTCTCTCAATCCTTTCCCTTCACCGCTCCATCCTTCAGTGGGTGTGGAGTGTGAGTGGCAAGCGGTGTACATTAGTCACTGATCAAACAACAATTGGAGTGCCTGAAGGAAATGGGATAGACACAGCTACATGTTGGAAAATTACTAAGGAAGGAGGCGGCAGGGTGTTGTGGTTTGATCCATGTTGATCAGACCGCGTATTTAGTAATTCAGCTTCTAAACTGTATAAATAATTGAGGAAAGTTTCCAGTGTGAGAAAGGTGAAAGAAAGATAAACTTCAGTGTTTGTAAAGTTGTGTCAGTGTAGAATTTTTATAAATAATATTTTGGCATTTTAAAAATAAATCTGATGATCTTCCATCACACAGATTTGCTAGGTGACAGGAAAGGTTTACATTTCCCTTTAGGCTGGCACTTAGTAGCCACAATGTAACGGCCAACCACATTAATTGAAACTGTCAAAGTAGGATGCTGACACTCCTCAGGAGACTGCCGAGTAACCCCGGGCTCATTTTGTTTTCTTCCAACAGGCGCTAACATCCTGAGAGACTCCTCTGGGAACGTGAAGCTAGGGGACTTTGGAGCCAGTAAACGTATCCAGACCATCTGCATGTCTGGTACTGGGATCAAGTCTGTCACTGGCACCCCCTACTGGATGAGCCCAGAAGTCATCAATGGGGAGGGATATGGACGGAAAGCTGATGTATGGTAAGGATAAGGTCAGATGGAACTGTGATGAGGCCCAAAGCGGATATTAGACTGTTACAACACAAAGATGTTGTATTTTACAAGCACAGAAGCAAAAAAGTATTTTTTTAGGTGGGCAGTATAGTAATAAATTCAGTTGTTTGCAGGGTGAATAATTCAGACTTAACACCTGTAAAATATAATATAATCCAATGCAGCAGTGTTCAGTTTCAAAGCAGTTTATATACCATCCACTGTTCTGCCCACTGGATGCTAACACTATGTACGTACTGCTACTGTTATGAAAGGCTACAAAAATATACTTATCTAATCTATTTTATAATAGAATAGGCTTTTGTCTTTTAGATCCATGTGGTCATTTTAAATAGAAAATACCTCTGTAAAACCTTAATTAACGACATGAGGTCCTCCTACCTTTGAAACACCATGGCAATATTACAAGAGTACAGCAATCCAAAAAGTCAATTTGTTTTTATGTATTCCTTTGTTTTTAATTTAGGTTTGACTGTTGCCCGTTAACTCTGTTATTTGACACAGTATATGGAGCTGATGCATTGAATTACAATATTTTAATGTTGTGTTCAAACCCAATACAACAATAAATAAAGTGTACTACAAACATAAGATTCCATTGAACTGCTGACAGATTATTATTTGATGCCAATATAATTATTTCTGGTGTTCCTTATTGTTCTTCAGGAGTGTGGCCTGCACTGTTGTGGAGATGTTGACCCAAAAACCTCCATGGGCTGAGTATGAGGCCATGGCAGCCATTTTTAAGATTGCCACCCAGCCTACAAAGCCCATGCTTCCAGAGAGCGTGTCTGACACGTGCAGGGACTTCCTGCGGCAGGTTTTTGTGGAGGAGAAGTGTCGGCCCACTGCAGATGTTCTGCTCAGCCACCCGTTTGTCCAGGGCTGTTTCTGAGGCCTGCAGAAATCCCTCCCCTCCCTTGCCTTGTGAGGCCTCCACGGCCCCAGCAACCTTCCCTCCTCTCTGGCCTGCCCCGTCCCCAGGGACCCCTCATCACCAGGCTCCAGGGCTCACCACCACTCCGACTTCCTGCCCTGCCACCTATCACCAGTGTCTGCCTTGTCAGGACCCCTGCATTTCTCACCAACTAGCTCAACCAGGATTATTCACCGAGGGGCCAGGTTGACTGCTGTCAGAACTCTGGAGTCCTCCAAAGCATCACAGCAAGGAGAGGACTGAAAAGAACACACTTATCAATCTCACAAGACACTGACTACTGCCCTTTAACAAGAGCAGGAAAAGTGACCCAAGGTAGAGAAAGGAGTGAAGTCATCTACTGCCGCCGACCAGTGTCTAGGATTGGCCAGACACTTTGTAATTGTGATTAACTGGTTACATTGATCACATATGGTAGTACTGTAAGTTACTCATAAGCCTAAGTCAGCTGAGTGAAATCAAGATGGTAAAATATTTTTATATGACACATAGACATCTTAGCACATTTGTTTTCTAGTGTCACCCAAATGTATTTTCATCAAGGCCTTACAATAAGAATGTCTTTTTTAAAACATCTTAGAGGGTTGCCGTTACCCTATTTTGTCAGCATTCACAACTGCATTCAGAAGGACTTGCATTGCACTTTTGATATCATGCAGTGAAACATGCAGGATATTTTTCTATTTGATGTATTTTAATATTATTTCATAAAGAAGACTGTCTAGTTTGTTCCAGTGTAAAGATGAAAAAACAAACTTTGCATTAGTGTACAATGACTGTTAAGCAATACCAACATTACTTTTGGAGCCTGTGACATCCATTCCAGCTTCCTATACAACGAGCCTCACTCTGTTCAGAAGTGGCCAAAGAAAAGTTGCATAGACAGAAGCTTTTTTTTAAAGTTCATAATTAGACATGTTGGATTGCTTTGTCACTATAGCCATCTCAATGTCATGGCAGCTTTACGCACAACAGACTGCAGAGACCAAACCAGATACATTGACAACAAATTATGTTACTATAAGAAGACCATGACATAAGAACGAAGTGTCTCACTTGTGTTTATTTTGTTGTAATCCAGTCACCTCCTGCCTTTGCTTTGCTTTCCACACTATATGAAGGGGTCAGTTAATTACCACTTGACAGCTGTATATAATGTCATGTGACCTATATGTCACCAAATAGGGTCAAGCTGGGAAGACAGAGCTAAACGGTGTATTCTTTATAGTGGAGATGAGATGAAAATCAGACTTGGGGGACTGATGTTGGACATTTAGTGGCTCGCTATAAATCAGTGGCACTTAAAGAATGATCAAATCTGTTTTGACCCTTGTCAGTGCCTTATATGAATGTGCTTGTAAACGGTGTTCACTGCCAAAGCAGAAAGCTTCTTGATAAGGTGAGCAACTGTTTACTGAAGATTTTATATGGAAAAAAGATTATACTGTAAATACATATTGTTCTGCACTTTTGTATGAAATTTCTTTTACATTATATATAAATCTGATTTTAAAAATGATGTAATACAGTAGACTGTACTGTGATTTAGGAGCATGTCTCTTTGAGAGCTGGTTGGCAGTATGAAAAGTATGGGAGGCTTTTGATTGGGACCGTTCGTTCTGTCTTAATGACAAAGTCTTGAAAGTATCAAGTCACTGATCTTTTGTACATTTAACTTATTAAAACAGAGGTCTAAAACTATGTACTTTGGGATTTTATTCTGTCATTTTGTGTTCAGATTTCCCTCAATGTAGAATTTTGAAAAAATGTCTACAGTTATAGCTGATAATTTCTATTTTAAATATAGTATATCTACAGTATATATAAATATTAAACATTCAAACTCATATTTGTAGTACATTAGAATCAGAATCAGATTCAGATTTATTATCTGTTCTAGCCTATGTGTAATAATATTATCGTTATCATAAACGACACTGATTTGTTCCCATTAGACCGAATTCTGTTATTTATTGTCAAACCTTTGATGCATTAAGACAATTCCTTATCATTTCTTTCCTCACAAACGAAAACTGACTCATGTTTAACTAGACAAGCCAAAATATGTAGGAGACCTTAGTAAAATTTCTGAAATGAAAAGGAAGTGAATATTCATACAGTCTGCTCTGCATTTTTCACTGAGGGAGATGTAGATGTTATTTCTTTCTAAACAGGCAACTTTTTAAATGAAAAAAATTATATATATA